CGTAACTCTAAAGCATGGCAAATGCATGTGCACTGATGCAGGCGTAATACAATTGACACAAACAGAGATTTAAGCCATTCTGAGATATACAATCTGGCTTTGCTATGATTTGAAGGTAATGTGGAATGTAATGGGCAGAGATAATGTTTGACTGAGTTAAGGAATGGATGCAGTGAGGTACATTATATGCATTTTTAAATACATTTAATATACAAGATCATGTAGTACATGTGAGAATGTTTTGATGTATGAATGTCTAGCTGTTCAATAGTGGTTGATTGGGATATTTAAATATGGTACTGCAAGGAATGTTGTACAGGGCTCAAGAATATGTTTCTCATTACAATTTAACCAGAATGCAGTCAGGGCATCAATACACAACTTTTCCAGCTATAGCCAAAGTCATGAGCCCTGGACAACCAGCTAGGAATGCAGAATTTATTCTTTAACTTTTAAAGATGCTGCTGAACCAATGTAGGGGAGAGTGCTGTGAAATGGTAGTTCCAAAGGTTCGACACTAGAGAGATGTGAGCCCACAAGAGAGATCACTGCACATGCACATTTGTACTGGGCTTTATAAAAGTACAAAAGCACCAGAAGAGAAAAAATGACACTAACAAGCTAGCAGACAGACAGCATGCACAAGGGGTACCTCTCCTATATGCCACTTCTCAAATCTGTACTGGGAGCAGTGTAGGAGAAGTGTTGGTACCACCGCGGTCTTGTCTCCGCTCTCCGAGGTGGGATCCATGTATGCTCCTGTAAAGGAGTTCCTGGATGCAAAGAGTAGTCGGCACATTCAAGCATACTTACTGTCCCATTTACACACTGTTGGCTGAGAGATAGGCTTGTTGTTGTTGTTTGTTGTTGCAGTAGTAGTAGTAAACAAAAAAAAATGAAATTAGCACCAAAAAGGACCGTAAACACTCACCGAGTGAGAACTGAGGGGTCTCAGTTATCAGGGTGAGTGTCACCTTCATTTGAGGCCTTGCTGTCCGCGTCGTTCTCGTCGGCTGAGTTAGCGTCCATGGCCTCCTCGCTGCTCTCCTCTTTACCGTGCATGTCCGGATCCTCCGGGTCTGTCGACCCCCGAGGATCGGCGCTGTCTTCACCGTCGTTAGCGTCCTCCTCTTTGGCCTGGTGAACACCAGCTGAGGCAGACGGAGTAGGAAATACTGTTAACTTATAACTACTTTACATCTAATATCTTTACATATGTAAACCTACAAAAATATTTGGGACCCTATGCACCGATGCACCCACTGAAAAAAATTGGGCACACAGCTCAAATTTTTGGCACACGAAGTATTTTGAGCCCTGTGTACTTTATTCAAGTGTAACGCTTTGTTCTGACTGATTAATCATATGAAATGAAATTTTGTCTCAGATCCTCAGTCTTCGCATTGAGACAACCAAGTAATCTGGATGTCACTTAGATTTTGCGCAGAGATTGGTCATCACAGACAAGAGTGGAAGAAATGCTGGTGTTAGAAAGTCAACATTTGTGAGTCAGAGTCAGTGTTTTAGCCAGCCTCAATTTTTTCCAGTGCCAGGTATGCTGTAGAGTAACAATAACCCTCTGCACACACCCCAGAGCTCGTGTTAGTTCCCTTACCCTCCTCCTCCTCCTGAGAGCTGTGTTTGTCCTTGTCCCTGCTCTTGTCCCGACTTCTCCTGTCCTTGTCCCTGCTGCTTCTGTCCTTACTGCTCCTGCCCCCCTCCCGATCGGCGCTGCGTGACCGGTGACGGCTCCTGCTGCGATCGCGGCTCCGTCGCTTGCGGTCCCTACTCCTGGAGCGGCGCTCACGCTTTCTGTCGCGATCCTTACGATCCTGACTACGGGAACGGCGCTTCCTGGAATTAGATAGTAACATTATCAGTCTATTGTTGTAACAATATCTGTATATACACATCTCACAATTACCTTATACAAATGTACATGTGTCTGGGACTGCATTGATCCAATGAGGCAGTGCTTAATGAGAAATACAATCACCCCTCACCTGTCCCTGTCCTTACTACAACTTCTACTGCGGTGACGGCTGGACCTTTCCTTGCTGCGAGACCGGCGGCTGCGCTTGGAACGTTCCCGCGACCGTGACCTTCTGCTCCCCGACCCTGAGCGGCGACCCTTGGAGCGGGAGCGACTGCGCTTCTTCCTCCTCTCCTCTCTTTCCCTCTCTCTCTTCTCCTCCAGCTCCTTCTCTTTCTCCTCCCTCTCCTTGCGTCTCCTTTCCCGTTCCTTCTCTCGCTCTTCTCTCTCCTTTTCAAGCTCTTTCTCTCGCTCCTCTCTCTCCTTCTGACGCTTTTGTTCCCTCTCTGGATCAACTGGAACACCCCTAACAGTTTTCTGATTAAAAAAGAATAGCTGCGTTAAATCATTGCAAATAAAATCTTCTACTTCTCTCATCTGAAAAGATATCTGAAGAAATACACAGAATTGGTAGCCAAAGGGCTTTAACAGTGTGCTAAAGGTTAAGAAAGAAAGTGTGTTTTCTTACAGCTTTTAACTCTTCGATGGTGGCCTTGATCTTGGCATAACCCATGTGTTGTTTGCCCATGAGATGGTCATCCACACGAGACTGGGCGTCCCCCACGATCAGGAACGCTCCACAGGTCTCACACACTTCCATCTGCTTCTCCTGGGCTGTCATACTGTCAATGCTCTGGGAAAACAAAGGAAGGCTTAACAATGGCACTGTTTGTTATTTTTTCTTGATGTTTCCTAGTTTCATTAACCTTTTTAGCCTATAAAAAACTGCATCTCTACTAAACTTGCAAAACATTGGGCATTTCATACTCAAGAATGTTGAGTATGATCAATAAAAATGGTAAAATCAATAAAAATGGATGAATGGAGGAGTGACAACTCACAGATTTGTTGGCCTGCCGTAGTTGTTCTCTCTCCTCTTTGAGCTGGTCACACAGCTTCATGACTCCCTGTGCCTCTTCCACCTTCCCCTCACAACCTAGCTGTTCCACCTGCACAGGGAACATGAATGAAAGACCTTTATTGACTATTCTTCATGTACATCTATGCTCTTGCATGCTAAAAATATGGTGATATTGTAGTTGTAACTCGTAAGCCCAAACAGGGTTCTCACGGCATAGGGGTCAGGTACAGAGGGACAACATTCTGTGGTGCAAGTTGCACATCGAGTCTCAAAGATGTGATCAAAGATGAATCAAAGGGTACACAAACCTGTTCCAACAGTCCGTTTATTCGATCTGTCAACATCTGTATCTTCTCTTCATTCTTGATGATTCCTCCACCGCCCTGCTTTCAAGTGGAAAAAAGAAGAGACTCCCTTGACAACATGACATTTCATAACTCTGTGCTGCCTTTGTGACATGCTTTATGCTATGGCATCTTTCATTAGTTTTAATACGTTGCATGTTTACCAATTTCAGCATAGTTAAGTTTCAAGTCATTTTGAGGATAATTTTAGAGGCATCATTTTACACTCTAGAATGAACCTATACATTTACATTTGTACGAGTGTTCCCTTCATCTCTTTAAGAATTAGATCTCCTTATCCCAAGCAACTCTTTCCATCTAAGTGACAGGGATTAAATATTTACAGCGACTTGTGCTTGCTGTTCGCTGAGCGCGAGGCGGGCATGGCCCCTCCTGATTCGTCGCTCCACATCTGCCATGCAGCTCTGCAGATAGCGCAGGAAATCCTCCTCGTAACCCATGCGCTGGAACCGTGAACTCTTTCTGTACCTGTGGAATCAAGAAATGGACACAAAATTACCCTGTGAGTGTGAACATTACATTATGTAACATAAATTTGATTGTCCTTAGGGACTGACTGGGCCTCATCTTTTACCAGTGGAAGGGCTACAAGAAGCATCAGGGTTCTTACTACAATTTTTCCATAGTGTAGGGGTCAGGTACAGGCGGACAACTTTTCTTTTTGAACTTACCCGTCTCTGAGAGCATCATCGTGAATCTTGTCACAGGGCCCCAGGTCTGAGCGAGTGTTGGTGAACAGCTCAGACGGGCAGAAACTGCATAGGAAGTGTTTGCAGACCTGCAGAGATAGAATGGAACAATGTAATTATGTTGTAGTGAAGAAGTCAACCTAAGAATATTTTTTATTATAGACTGGTTTATTTGCAGAAACACATACTTCATACATACATAGTACAGTAGGTTAGAAGCTTTTTGCAGCCAAAGGCTGAATTGAGAAGCTTTTACAAGTTTTTAAGAACTACATGACTAATACATAATGTATATACATAAAAAGTGCCTTGAGAGGCATTAAACACCACTTAAGCGCTAGAATAATGCACATTTATGCTAAAATTACATCATACAACTTCTGTTGGCAAATTACTTAAGTACAACTGACAATAATAAAAAAGTACAATTACATCATGTGCAACAACATAAAATGAAATCTACTGTATGGCAAGGTTATTCAGTATGTTCAGCATTGTGGGGACAGGACTGCATAAATATCTTTTTGTCCCAATGGGTGGTTTGTAGCGCCGTGTTTGCCTTAGCTGCATGTTGTGTGAGTGGTTACTAACTGGGGGTAGCCAGGGGGCGTGCCTAGACCTAGTGGCTGAAAGGGCACAGGTCTATAATATAATGGTCTAATACTGTAGTTAATTTAGAATATCTTGTACACATGTATTAGAGGATACTGTAAGATGTGAATCATAGAAGTATAAAATTACTTCTGCAAAACATTTTGTTTGCATGATGTACATGTATTTTTGATCATAAGAACAATGGCATCACGTGATTCACTGACTGTGAATGTGATAACAACGCTTCATAATTAGTTTACTAAGAGTAAGAAGATGCATAGATGCTGCATGCTGATAAAGTAAAATAATAATTTCCCAAGGAGATTTGCTCTTTCCAGCAAGATAAAATCATGAAAAGATACCCCTGGTGATCTCCAGTTCAAAGACTAGTATCGACGAAAATTGATCTGTATCCATATCCAAGCTGAAGGCTATAAATTATTCACAATTTGTTCAGGAATGGAGTGGGTGGGAGGGGGGTGATAGCGTCACGGGCAAAACGCATGCGTCTGGGCCTGGGCTGGGAAAATATTTACCTAAAGACAACACCGAAAGAAGGTAGAAACCTTCTGCTATTTCTTTAAAACGAGTAGCTAAGAGAATTACAATGCAATACGTGTCTCTCAAACACGAGATATGATCCCAAAAAGGAAGAGTTCATATCAGAAGGTCGCAAGAAAAAAAGAAACATGGTGTTTTTCACAAAAATGGCGGACGTTTTGTCTAAACGCCCGCTTCGGAGGTCCTTGATATCTCCGCAAAAACGCAAAGTTTCCTCCCCAAACTTCCCCCAGAGTAGCACAGATACCTTCTCGTCGCTCCAGTGTATGTCTTCCTTCTTCTCGTTGGGCGCGAGGTTTCGATCTCGCCCCATGAGTTCGTCCAACATCTGAGCCATGAAAGACGCCGACATCTTGCCGGTGGTTCGTGCTCTCGTCTGGCTAGACCAGAGTGCACCGCGCGCCTGGAAAATTCCGCGGTAAACCGTGATCTCCAAGCAGATGTTGGGAGGAAGATTTGTGACTTTGAGATTTGTGCTCGTTTCCATAAGAAATTGATCCAGCGGATTTTTAGGGCAGCAATGCAAAAATCATTCTGAACGAGGAAAGCTGTCTACTATTGATGTTAATTGCAATTTCTTACCACAGTTTTGTGCCATCATATCATACTTGAAGTGTTTGGAAAAGCACCACAGCAATCTAGCTCATATATAGAATTTTATAGATAGAATATAAAGCCTACGATACAGAAAAAGAAGCAACCATTTCCGTCTGCGACATTGCATTTTTGCCTCACAGGATCTCACAGTTTATCAGTATGATCTGCCAAGGAGGTTTTATTTATTAACCTCCTTGAATCTGCTATGGGAATGGCCAGAAAATTGACTTTGAAATTCAGTTTATTTGCCGCTCTGAAATTGCATAGGATGCCTTAATAGTAACAGAATAATGTCAACCACTAACATATTGTGAAACCATGAGGTAAGTGGTAGAGCAGAGGTCCTTGGGCATCTTTTTCTGTTTTGCAGTTTTAACCCTGATCGCTAGACGGCGCAAAATCTAGTGCCAATCAAGTCATTCACCCCCCCTGTGGTAAATGGAAGAGTCTCTTAACCTTTAACCCGCACCTGTAGACCAAGACCACGTACACAACAGTCGGGTAGGATTTTCAACAAATTACCTTTGCATTTATCGCTAGAATATTACCTGTACTATTTGAAATACTACTACAGTGATATGCTGAACGTAGAAATACCTACACATGCAGCTCAAATTTTACCTGCACCTGTACCCAGTATTTGGACCAATTATAATTGCCTTCGACTGAAGGCTATGCCTTCGGAGAAGGTTATGAAATCGGGTTTGCACTGTTTGGCAGATTAGGCACGATAACTCTTGAAGGCAAGGTCCGAGGTTCACGATTTTTGGCAGGCAGGTTAATTTAGGGGTGGCCATTGTCAAGGCTAAAAATGGGCTTCGTGGGGGGTTCCTAAGTCACTGTAGTTGACCTTGGTTTTTGGTGTTTTTTCCTTGTCATCAAGATATCTCGAGAATCCTTAAATGGATGTTCATTATTTTTAGTGGGCAAGTTACCGTTGAGAATGCCGAGGTCAAGTTCAAAGATGGGCCCCGTGGGGGTTTCTATGTCACTGCAGTTGACCTTTGTTTCTTGTGTTTTTTCTTGTCATCAAGATAACTCGAGAATCTTTAAATGGATGTTCATGTTTTTTAGTTGGCAAGTTACCATTGACAATACCAAGGTCAAGTTCGGATATGGGCTTCGTGGGGGGTCCCCACGTCATTGAATTAGAAAGTACTGCAGCGAAACTTCTGGTTTTTAAATCTCGTGATATGGACGTGCTAGGGTCATGATTTTTAGATGGTTGGTAGCTCTCGTGCTCAGAAAGAAGTGCCGTAAGTTTGGGCCCCGTAGCAGCTTGTTTGGGAAATACAGAGGCATTTGTTTGAAAATGTTTGAAGAAGGATAGCTCAAGAACCGGTTGACGGATTGTTGTTATTTTTGGTATCTCGGTAGCTTAAGTGATGCTTGACCTAATTAGATGACAATTATGCAAATCACGATCTAATTTACATAATGAATGACAAAAGTCTATAAATCTGCTGCCTTACATAATAGAACAATTAAAATGGTGGCATATTTAATCAAGAGGAAGAGGAACATTAACAGATATTAATTATGTAAATTGTGACCCAATTTGATTACTTGATAAGAGAAATCTAAATGTCTTTCATACTGCAGTTACGTAGTGGGCTTTTGGTGATTGTTCGTTTTTCAGTAGTTGAAGCTGTAGAATAGGAATTTAAAAAAAATTTTTGTGAATAGGTTAAGGGGTTTAGATTGAGGGTTTAAAATTTGGAGTCTGTAGTAGGTTGTGAGTACGTGTAATAGCCTAAGGACATTTTGTTTGCACATCTTTAAAGTGTAGGCGAAGTCTTTGTCCTTTTATGTAGTTGGTTAAACTAACAACAGCATAGTTGGGTTAAGTAGGTTACGCTAACAATAGCACAGCAAGGGTGTAGAGTTGTTTGTTGAGATAACAGTAACCGTCAAGTGTTCCTTTAACAATCGAAGCTATCCAGGAAACAGTCCTGACAAGGTAGTACTGTAAATCAAAAATAGGTTCAAGGTCAAGTGTTGGAAACTGCATAACAAGTGCCTGTTAAACTACATGTAATTAGTGGACGATGACACAGCCTTTAAAGTGCATGTATTTACTAGTACATGTATATGGTAAGTTTAACATTACTAGCTACATGTACGTGTGTAGTTTAAAAAGATGTGCGATATTTGAGCCACTTAAAGAATTATTTGTTGTCTTGCTTTTTGGGGCACAAAACCACATAGGAAGGTATTGTAGGACACTTCCACACCATTTCCAGGGTAAAGAGTTGTTTGTTGAAGCAACATAGGTGTTTGGAGTGTCTAGTAGGTTGTGGGTTTTTCACATGCAGGCGTGTTGTTCTATGTAGTACATGTAGGTTAAGATAACAGATAGGGTGAACTAGGGTAAGATAACAATAACACTGGCAGGGTGTAGAGATGTTTGTTTGAACAGTACCAATGAAGTGTCCTATAATAACAAGAGTATCAGCTACTCTGAAAACAGCCCTGACAAGTTAGTACTGTATATCAAAATAGATTCAAGGTCAAGTGTGGGAAACCGCATAAGAAATACATGGTATACAACTTTTTTGAGTACTAGTAAGTTGTAACTCATATGCAGGATTCAATGACGTTGTTGGATCGAGCTCAAAAGGTACAATTAATTTGCAAAGAAATATATATTTTCACTTAAGGTTCTTTAAATTGTATGTATGTTTACAAAATCTGGCTAATATATGCAGCCGTGGAAAACAGCGTTTTGGCGCATATTTTTAAACTACTCACGTCACTTTTCCCAAGCAAAAAGAGCTACATAAGCTTATTTTCCAAATTTTGTCACCCTAGCATGTCATGAGATTTCAAAACTGGAACTGGTCAACTACATGTATATTGTTTTTAATTATCTAGTATAAAGCGCATGCCATAATTGCATTTTGTTGGAGTTTCTACCATCTATGGAAGACTCTCCTACTCGCACGGTCGTCTTACGTATGGCAACTCTTTTTTGTGTTTTCTCTTGTGGACAAGATAACTCGAGAATCTTTAAATGGATGTTCATGTTTTTAGTTGGCAAGTTACCATTGAAAATACCAAGTTCAAGTTCGGATATGGGGTTCGTGGGGGGTCCCCACGTCATTGAATTAGAACGTACTGCAGCGAAACTTCTGGTTTTTACATTTCGTGATATGGACGTGCTAGGGTCATGATTTTTAGATGGTAGGTAGCTCTTGTGCTCACAAAAAAGTGCCGTAAGTTTGCACCCCGTAGCAGCTTGTTTGGGAAATGCAGAGGCATTTGTTTGAAAATGTTTGAAGAAGGATAGCTCAAGAACCGGTTGACGGATTGTTGTTATTTTTGGTATCTCGGTAGCTTAAGTGATGCTTGACCTAATTAGATGACGATTATGCAAATCATGATCTAATTTACATAATTAATGACAGAAGTCTATATATTTGCTGGGTTCTGTGATAAAACAATTAAAATGGTGATGAGGAAATGCTAGAATAGCCCTCTTTGTTTAAGATAAGACTGTCATTGGATGGAAAATATGATCAAAGGATATAATTGCAAGTGAGGATATTATTTCCATAATCAATGTGAAACATTCATAATTTGTCAGTCGTAAAGGTTAACATCATTTGTCGAAGGCATGAGATCTTGGAACTCTAATTTACAATATATATATTGCAGGTTTATAATAGGTGTGGGTACACATTGGAAATACTTGCACAGCTCCAATTTTACTTGCACTTACCTGCATATACCCAGTACATGGTGGACCAGTGCAGGTTAGTTGCAGGTAGACATCAGAAATACCTGCACAGCTCCAATTTTACCTGCACTTAAACCTGCATAACATATACCCAGTACATATTGGACCAGTGCAGGTAGACGTCAGAAATACCTGCACAGCTCCAATCTTACCTGCACTAACCTGCATATGCAAGTGGTATTTTGAGCCCTTCGTTGGTCCTTGTTGTGAGCTCCTAACAATGTCTTACGTTCTGAACAGATTTTATTAAACCATGGACCAATTGAAGGAGAAGGAGGAGCGACTACGTGAGGCTGCATGTGTGGGGGATGAGGACACCCTGTGCAGTCTGCTGGCCAGTGGGGTCGGTGTTAACTCTCAGAACCCTGTCAACGGATGGTAAGTACAGCAACACTTCTGATAGTATACTAGCCTCCACCAGATTTTGTTGGTTTGCTAGGAGTACATTTCGGGGGCAGCAAATTGTTCTCCTTTGGCAGACCAACTTCACTGGCATATTATTTTATCTGTTGCTAGTATTTGGCCAATATCTACTCTTTTCAGTTGCCTCTGAAGCATGGTACAGGTTACATGCAATCACTGATATGACATAATATGTTCTACTACTACATTGTACTAGTAGTTCTCATGTTCAAGTTTATTGGAAAAGGAACTTGTGGACCTACATGTATCCAGTAAGTTACATTAAAAGTCAACATCATATATTTCCCTTACAGGAGTCCTCTCCACTGGGCAGTGAAACGCGGCCATAAGAACCTGGTGTCCCGCCTGCTGGCAGCCGGAGCTGACCCTGCTCTACTGACCAGTCAGGGACAGGTGCCGGCACAGCTGACCGACTCACCAGACATCAGGAGTTTGTTGGGAGGTAGGCAGTGAAACACATCCTGTCTGTTCTTGGATGGCAGAGAGAGGTGTTGTGTTGTATGTGGATCTCTGGTCAATGATTCTGCATATTACATGTTAAGTTTCAACTTAGTCTATATACTATACTCCTAAATTAGTAAAGAGCAACACATGTATTGATATTCTTCATGTACTGCTAGTGCATTTATGAAAAATGTGTTTCTTGTTTTTCTTTCAGCATCCCCTGATGAGTCCCCGCCCAAAGCGGAGCCCCTGCCCATCACACCAAACTACATGGCCAACCCTCCCTTCCCGTACGTGAAGCAGGAGCAGGGACCGCGGTCTGCAGTCAACGGCAGTCCAGCCCGGCACAGGGTCGCTCTGGAACAACCACAGTCTCATGTACCAGGGAGGCAGCAGTACACACCAGCTGTGGATCAAGGTACACCTTCTACAGCATTGTTTACCATGTTCTATAGTATACTTCAGTACATGTACATGTATTATGAAGTAATGCATACTTGTAAATGACTTGTTATGTCATTAGTTCTATTTGTTGGTCCCTGTTTATGTTTGCCACAAGTGACGTTTCAAATGGATTTCAGCCTCAATCCCCAGCTGCTAAAAATATCAGGATGTCCTGGGTTCTTACAAGTCTCTACGAGACTCCAAAGGGTTGCCAAGTGTACTTCTACAATGTAATCTTGTGGCCAGCTAAGTTAACTCCTCTGCCATATTGCTATAATTCTTCTATTTGCCCAATTTGTGCTATTTTACCCATTGCAGTCTTGATACAGGTACGTCTTTATTATGCAGATACTTTATTACATAAGACAAAATATAGGTGGATTTCTTGAATTACATTTTTCCCCCAGAACTTGTACTGAAGGTGAGAGTAGCCAACCCCATGCAGATGGAGAATGACTTTATTGAGATTGAGATGGACCGGTCCAAGCTGACCTTCCGTGACCTGCTGGCCACCTGCTGCCGCGAGCTCCAGGTGCAGCCGGAGAAGGTGCAGAAAGTCCGCAAGCTGCCCAACACCATGCTCAGGAAGGTAACAGTAGTCTGTTTTGCAGGTGTTCCAGATGCAGTCAGCATTTTTTAGAAGGGGAAGTAGGGGGCAATTATTTTTCCCAGTGCAGGTGGCATTTTTTGATTGCACATAGATCACATGTGCTTAGAACTTGTGCTTCCACAATAGGAAGGCGTACCAGGGTTGGCAGCCAGAGTTTTAAGGGCGTGTGATCTACGTGCGATCAGAAAATTCTTCCAGTTGCAACTTGCAAAAGGCTTTTTGGTTTTACATATACTAGGTTACAACTGGGCTGTTTCAAAGACATATCCCTCTATCCTGGGACAGAAAATTGCTTGTTAATGTTGGAACAGACAAAAATTTAAACCTGGAAACAACCTTGGTGAACTTTTTCATTGTGAAAAATGTATCATGAGCATGCTTGATATGCTGATCATGGTTAATATGATTCCTTTTCAGGACAAAGATGTGACCAGACTGCATGACTTCCAGGAGATTGAGCTGGTTCTGAAGACGACAAACAAACCAGCAAACCCGCAGTACGTCATCAGCCCTTCAACAGACGGACCCGCGTCTTTCGTGTACTAGCAGGGGAACTTTGACTGGCACAATGGCAGAACGCACTGCACCTGTGCAAAATCTGTTATGTATTATGCTGAACACTTCATCAGAACGTCTCATTGAAAGTCGAATTTAAGGACGAATCCTGTCTAACTAAGGTTTCAAATGTTGTGTCGGCAAAGATATTGTCTACAAAAGGGACAGCACAGATGCAACATTGACCAAGCATCAAACTGAACAATCTGGATTTTGCCAGGTGCAGTATGTTTTGCCAAGGTGTTTCTTTGATCCCAATGGGGTCTGCATTGTTGCATTATAGTGTCATTGTATCTTTGCTGAACTACTAAAACAAGCAAGAAAGGAGCTTGATGCCAGTTCCTTACAAATTCAATTCTATTACAGTGGCAGAGGGCTGAGTTTTAACACATTTATATTCATTGTGAAGCGCATCAGAAAGTTAGGGGTGAGGTGAAAATTGTAAATGTTGTGATTTGGTCTCTGTCAGTATTAATGGATATTACTAGTATGCAACTTACTAGCAACTTTGCAGTTTGTACTTAAATAGCTTAGTGCATACTATGTTACAGTATCCTCAAGGATCCAGACAGTTTTCAATGTACAGTATGTTTTACAAAGTCTTCCTCTGTCTTGTCTGCATTTTCTTGCTTTAAGTTTTTTTATCTCAGTTGTTGAAGACAAAACACTAGAAAATATTCTCATTTTTTTTAATGTACATTGTACTTTGTCTATCTTGACAAAAAAGAAAAAAAAAACTCATTTTATTTTTGATATTCTATTTGCTTGCATCACCCTTAACCTTCAGCCTGCTAAGGTAGCTGTTTGGTACCAAACTTGCTTCGGTTATGGTGCTAGGTAGAAGGTTAATTTGCTCATTATGAGAAAGAGATTGTTGTCAGAGCCTATTTGTGTCTTGTATTAAAGCAATACAGGCTTCAATAGATGTAGTATAATGGTAAGGATAATATAAGGAATTCTCTACATAGTACAAGAGGTCCAACCTCAGAGATTGTTTCAAACGTGTGTTGAATTATTGATGGGTCATGGATACAGTCTGTTTTTGTGCACAAAGCCCTTGTCTAAGTCTGTTGTGAACACCTGATGTTTGTTTAACATTTCATGGGGCCTGCATTGGATTCTGACATGGCCTTACCTCAATGTTGTCCTAGCCACCACCAATGTTAGCTTACATATAGATGAGTTCATTCTAATCTGCAGGATAATACGTCTGATGAGAAGAGAAGACGTCCCATTGTTTGACATAAGTGCTGTGGAGCCAGTTAATGTTGCATGTACATTGTACTACAGATCAATACATGTAAAGGTAGTGGCATGTATTTATTCTAGGTTTGATAATAGATGTCTATTTTTTACATTGTTTTCTGGTTCAGAAAACAGTACTTGAATTTCTTCATGCAGTTCCATGTGATTTAATTAACCTCTCAGATGAGATTTTGTTGTTTGAACTGAGGCCAGACTGTACATGTAATACATTTTCCATTATTTATGAACAGTCTGTCACCTCTGTGACCTCAATAGTAACAGTCTTCCATAGTCCATTAGTGAGTAGAGTGATGTTTCTTATGTAAGTGATGATTATTCACAGTCTAATAGCAAATGTTGACCTCTGATGGCTTCCCTTATATTATGTGTTGGATCAAATTATTGTATTGTTGCTGATTGTAAGAGTGTGACTTAAAAAAGTCAAACTCCTCGAATAGCTTAGAAGTACATGTAATAGATTTAGGAGAGTTATAATGTCACTGTTATATGACTCATTTCTCTGTTAAGTGTACACAAGGTGTGTATCAGTGTTTTGCTTTGTTGCTTTTTTCAACTATCCTTCTGGCACGGTTTTGAAGTTACTATTATTTATTTTCTACACTCAAGTGGAAACAGGAGAGATGAGAAATGTGCTTTGTTGTGTTTTATATGGATGTGATGACTTTTGCAGTATACCTTTGACTTCAATGGACCACATGTGAAAATACATTGTAAGCATCTGTGTGAGACTGAGCGATTACAAGTACAGTACTTCTTTTTATATCCCTCTTCAATTTTGTTTGTCACTAATGCATTGAAGTATGTATACTAAGTAAGCAGTGTGTTAAAGTTTAACCCAGGTGGTAAGGGCAGCACGTTACAAAAAAATTGCAAAGCAATACGCATAATTCTGGAATTCAATAACAAATTTCTCTAAACAAGTGTCTATATTAGTAAACAAGTACAAATGAGTGATACTTCCATAAATTGTGATAAGTAAACTTTAAATTATAGTATGCAATGTTTTATATATGTTCTGCCATGTTGACGTGTACTGTATCTGTGTCATTATCTGCATAGTGACAAGTCTAATAGAACTACATGTTAACATACCACAAGGTAGGCCCAAGCCAATGACTGGTTGAATTTTCTCGGATCTAGAGTCGAACTACACACATCCACTATCATATGGTACAGGACGTCCTTAGATAACAGGTGGTGTTCGGCACACATCAGTGCGTTTTACCTAGAATTAGGATTTAGTATGCAGGAATGTAGTAATCCCTTCCTCAATAACGTTCTTATCTTGCCCTTGGCTTGTTTACGAAGCTTGTGCCAAGTTAAGTGCAATGAAGCGAAGATAAGAAAATAACTTGCTAAAACAACAACTACGGGACCTAGTGGCAGTAGTGCTTCTATTTCCAACGTGTCGCCTGGTCGCGAAGCAAACAATGGATAGTTTATGTTGGACTGAAATGAGATTTGTGTAGAAATGTAGGTTCTATATTTTATAGGTCAATCATGAGCTATTACAATTATTACCGTAACCTCTACCAGGCTTCAGAGGCGACGGAAAAGCTGCAAACTGTACTCCTTTTGCGGACCAACTCCCCTGGAATGTTGTCAGTTTTCTTTCCGATTTGTACTCTTTCCAGCCGCCTCTAACGCTAGTAGAGGCAAACTGTACTCGATCCTTAGCGTACCAACTCCCCTGGAATGGTATCTGTCCATTTTTCCTACACTTTCCAGTAGCCTCTGAAGCCTGGAAGAGACTAAGCTGCTGTGCAGACTTGTCGACTCTGACAGGTAAAGTGCGCTTCAGTGTTCCACTGAGGCTACGACTGCCGTGTCGTATTGACCAATCGCCTCAGACAGGTAAAGTGTGCTTCAGTGTTCTACAAGAAGTCAGCTGTGAAAACACGGGACTCTCGGATGACAGGGACCTGACAACTGATCCCGACTCTCTGACCTGTGATGACGTTCTACCTTTACAAACAGGCGGGCCGTAGAAACACTCTCTGCACCAACAGATTTGCGTTTCAAATATTTCCGATGTGAAGAACATACTGAAGAATCTCCGTTAAGTTTGATATCAAACTTATTTGAATGACTACTCAAGCTGCTCAAGGAAAATATTTTCGACGCATTAGCTGTGTCTGAATCTATATCTAGATTTTAGATATTGAGGCCAGTCTTCGGTCTTTCATTGTTTTCTGTTGTTGACAAACAACTGCTATCTTCTTTTTAACGGTTACAATAGACACGTAAGCAGTGACGACAACGACAGCTATTGGCTATTGGCTGCTATTTTTGCGGAAGACTGAAGAGCATGTCATGGGCATGCGCCCCACGGTCCGTCCAGGTGACTTACCTGTGTACACACACAACACACGCTCGTCTGTCGGTGTTAGCTCAGGAAGATTTGCGCCCGTGTTTCTATGTGTTTAGACAACGACTTGTTATTAGTCGTAGGAATCGAGTCAACAGGACAACACAGACAAGACAAGCAGAGACAGAGGCGCAGTTCCCACAACAGTTACGGACCAGGTAACTTGACCTACTTGGGTGGAACCGTGTTTACGTTTTCGTACCTGGCGTCTGCCTTAAGTTAAAATTGGATTAGACCAGGTCTTTCCACGCTATGTGGCTAGCATTGTAAGAAATTGTTACTCAAGCAACTGGATAGATTTTGAAAATTGACATTAATTGTCAGACGTTTTCAAGCGGCATCCGCTTCTTTTCGTCACTTGGTAATGAATGAATGCTTCTTGAAATGTCTGACGGTTTCCAAAAACTCTATCCAGTTGCTTCAAAATAATTTCTTCTCACTACCTAGAAGTGTAACATTCATCGACGTACGCTATATATCCTTGCTTTACAGATATTAGACGGTGGCAGTATGAGGTGGAAGACACTTCTGCCCCTGTTCTTCGTCTTCATTGCGTTCCTGTTTTTCGGGGCCTGGATTTTCAAGACCCTGGAGGAGACGTACCATGTGCCCGGGATTCGGATCGAGCACGATCTTGAGGCGGTGATAGTGGCCATAGCCAGGCGGGTCAACTCTAGCGTGTCCGAGGACGAGGTTCTGGCTTACATCGAGGCCGCGCGGACAGGGAGGTTTCCGATGTCCCAAAATGGTGAGAAATCTAGACCACACATTGAAGGCTTCCGATGCAATTTCAGGGCAGTAGAGCTAGATTTTCAAAGTGAATTTTTTTCTGTTTTTTTAATCAAACAAAGATCACTCCTATCCCATAGCATGCTGAAATCTGAGGCAACAATGCGATGTCACTGACGGAAAACGATAACCATTACTTGTTTTATACCGTAGGCTGGTTCTGGGTATTTATGGGCGGTACCCCAAAAATAAAGTGACGCCTCACGTAGTTTGTTTTTATCGCTATTTCAAACGCTTTAAGTGTGAAATGATGAAATTGCATTGGATGCCTTTAACATTGAGGGACATGCTCCACTGCAAAATCACAAAATCGTTTCTTCTATCTAATTGGAAAACAAAGTACTAAACGCAATGGTTACAAGCCAGGCATTGTTATACACATACAGCCTATTGACTCTCGTAATTTTCGTCTTTGATAATTTTACACACTTAACACATACAAGTGGTCCACTTTCAACCATCGCGATTGACAAATGAATTATGAAATGCTGCTGGTATTGTCAACGTTTTATTTACATTAGTAGGAAGTTGCACATGATACAGTCTGGCCCGTGACGGCTCTGTGGTTTTCTACACGACTACAAATACACCTGACTCACACAGTGTACACGGTTACACGCACAGCGTTTACATGCTTTCATTGGTGTGTGAATGAACCACCATTCTACCAAACATCCCCCGTGTATTACGACGTGTAATATAAATTCGTCACCGTTTACACCATTGTCCCTGTGAGGTCGAGGGCTGTATTCATGTCAGTCTGTTGTTTTCAACACGTCACTGAGTATGTAATCAAGTATATATAAGCTGCTGAAAGCGAAGCATCTAACCTGCGTGACCCCAGGTCTACAGAAACATTCTACGGCATGGCGACAAGGTATGCCCATGACGTGTTCGGAGCCTTTCATGCTAGCCGAAGGGGTTCGCGTCGTGAGCGGATATTTGATTTAAAGAGACTCTTTGGCGTGTGACAGTCACAACACTGTTGTGGGATGAAAAACATCGTGACGTTAGGATGAGTTAATGGGTCTTGTTCACTGAACCTGCACAATCATCAACTGTGAAAGTTCATTCGAGTTGGTAAATTGCATAACGAGAATCTAACTGTTCTCCAACTCAAAGAAATTGACTTACAAGAACTTTCAACCGAATCATTCGGTCTTCATCGTCTTTCTGGTCCAAGTGCTGTAGACACGTGATTTTCCCCACGTGTGACGTCAGCATTGGGTCAAAGTTCAACGGAAGTCTGTACCGCCACCCGTTCCGGCTAACAGAAGGTTATACAAACTGTGTTAAAATAGATTAAATGAATACGTGTGTACAGTATGATAAAAGTGGGTGGAAATCACACTTGTATCATTGCTACGAGATGATCATAAAAAGAGTGAATAATCAGTTTTGTCAGAGAGCCTTTTTAGTTTACATGCTCTTCACAACATATAACCTCAAAATTAGAGTCTGTCTTGAACGTGAATTGAACTCGGACTGCAAAGGTTGCGTACCGCGGAATAGGCTAGGGAGATACAGTCATGAAATCATAACAGAAAAGGTAGCAAGCTTACTGATGGTGTTCAAGAACTTGAACTTACAATGCCCAAAACACAAACAAGGCCTTTTGGGGATTAGGACTAAGACGTGTCCTATTACTACCCACCTGCTGACAGTAGCGTCCATTGTCTTCCCTCCCCGTCCTCTAGGTGTTGTCGTTCTCACCTTACACGTGTTTCTGAAAATTTCTCAAGCGTTCTTGGGACCGCCTAAAGGCCAGGAACAACAACAAACGGCTCGTAAGACACAACCAGGGTCTTAAATCGGGCCTTAAACAATGCTAGATGATATCCAAATGCTACCTGGTCTGAGGTTTAAATCTTCTAATGGGGATGGCAATACTCAGTATCTGTCACGTGTATTTTTCTGCTAAAAATGAAAGGTTCTTGCATGCAGAACCGTGCCTATCTAGTTCTATGTCTGAATGGGTTAGGGTTAGGATCAGGCACTGTTTTGATATATCGATAGCCTTCACGTATCCTAGAACGTATATTTGCCACAGGCATGGTTCTGGTAACTATCAAGAACCGTGCCCCTGAACATTGTACTTGATAAAGCACGGTTCTGGATACACCTGGGCAATCCAGAACCACGCCCGACCATGGTTCTGAATAAAGCACATTTCTGGATGCGTGTGCACTATCCAGAACCGTGTCTAAGCAAGGTTCTGGATAAAGCACGGTTCTGGAAACAACAGGTTTTCCTCTAGGGTCCAGCCTTGCGATGGGAAACCGTCTGGACGGCACGGTTCTGGATTATAGGTCTGGATACAACAAGGATGTTTATTTTGTTTTGTTTTCCCATCAAGGCACCACGACTGCATATCACATGGACTACTTCGACGCCTGGTTCTTCTGTATCACGTTCATCACTACCATAGGGTACGGCTTCATCACTCCGCACACTGTGGGCGGGAAGGTGGGTGTTCACGGCACAGCATCCATTCTTTACGCACTGTAAAGCATGCGTAAATGCTTCTTCACTCACGCGTACCTTTACGCAAGGTTTGCTCAAAGACAGGATATCCTGCAGTGGAATGCAAAACATAATGATAGTAGGAATTTTTTTATCCAAAATAATTAATATAAATACATGGCATTTCCGTTCTGCCCAGCTGTTCTGTATAGTGTACGCCTTCCTGGGGATCCCTGTGACGCTGATCATGCTGACGGCTATCGGACGGAAACTAGGTGATACTAACAGGTAAGACAACCACAGTATATATATCACTCACTCACTCACTCACTCACTCACTCACTCATTCACTCACTCACTCACTCACTCACTCACTCACTCACTCACTCACTCACTCACTCACTCACTCACTCACTCACTCACGTCCTTCTCCACGTCTCCTTAGGACGTCCTCTCGCTCTCCTTCCCTGTGGAGTCAATCTCAATGCCACTCTTGTCATGTCAAATCAGTTGCAGGTTTGCGACCTCCATCTGTGAGCACACAAAGTCTCGCTTACTGATTTAAGGCCTGTTTTAAGGTATATGTATATATCAATGGTTAAAACATTGGAGAAGCAACCTTGGCCCATTTGCGCAATAGACATTTAATGTTGAGTGACCCAAAATCATGAATCACTTTGAATGATAGGAGAGCAGTTCAAGACCCCTAAGAGCAATGAATGATCATTGTGACTTAATGATTCTGTCCAGGTGGGTGGAGAAGAAGGTACAGAAGAAGCTGCCGAACTATCCGGGGCGGATCCGGGCGGTGACGCTGCTGATCGTGGTGGTGACGAGTGTCGGCATCTTTTTCTTCGTGCCGGCCATCATCTTCACCATCGTGGAGGGGTGGAACTTCCTGGACTCGCTGTACTACTGCTTCATCACGCTCAGCACGGTCGGCTTCGGCGACTTCGTCTCCAGCGTGCATCACGAGTCCTCTTCGTACTTCGGCTTCGTGCTGTATAAGGTAGGGTATGATCTAATTGTCAATTCACTGCACGGAAACTTAGATTTACCAATGGCAGTAAATACCAATAGAGTTAGGTAATGTTTAGTTTTTTTTTTAATAATAAACACTACTGAACTTTACAATGGTAGTAAATAAAAGTCAAGTACGGCGATTCCTGACTCAACAAGGGTTGTAAATGAAATTACTGCACTTGACTTTATTTACTACCATTGTAAAACCAGATACTATGTACAAAGTAAACATTACTTGAGTTAATCACCTTTGGTGAATCCAACAACATGCCCCAACTTTTCATGCAGTGTAACATGCCTACGTTTTTTTCTTGGCAGACAAGCGGCAAACTATTAAATCTTCTTACAGAATGTATTTGATTATGTGAACGGCATTATCTGGAAACCCCAAAATGAGAGCGTGCGAATAAAAATAAGTTCGGCAAAAAAGTTGCCTTCATTATGAAATCTACCTATGATTAATATGATATGACTAAACACGCAGTACGTGAACGTATGGCGAATAATGAAAATGGAAACATATGATATGACTAGTACTAAACACACAGTACGTATGGCGAATAATGAAAATGGAAACATCCTACGAAGTTAGTATTTCAATTTACGGCATGCATTTGCTTATTTTGCAATTGCTTGACAATGTACGATTTACCCTATGGTCGAAAACTTTTTTTCATGAATGTGCCCTCTGTGTTCCCTCCCCAGGTGATCTTGTTCCTGTGGATCATGGTGGGTCTGAGCATCGTCGCCGCCGTGTTTGACTTGATCCAGGAGGCGCTGAGAGGTGGGCACGGACGCAGGGCCTAGTTATGGTCTACGAGAGATTACCTTGTGAACCAAATGTCAAGAAGTCTTTTTTTTTGGGGGGGGGGTGTTTTGTTGAAGCTGGATGTTATAAGTAAGGGTCTTTATATTCTAGTGAAAAAAAACACAGTCTTTCAACTATGAGTTGTCACTGTACCAAGTTCAGGAGTTCCATGGAGCTTCGGCAGCCTGGGTGCCGGCGCCATCCTCTATAGTTACCGCTGGCTACAATGGACTACAAAGGTTGACACCCAGGCCAGAGCCTCGGAGGAGGTGATCCTTTTTTTTAGAACAGTCCAAAATCAATGTGCGCAAGGATGTCATCCATAACATTAAATCAGTGTGCCCTAATTCTAATGTATAATAGCAAACCCTATTACCGTCCTTTGCTCAGGTCTGAAGACCAGGGTGAACAGAAACATGAAGGACCTGAGCGTGGACCATTTCGGCCACCTGGTCAGCAGGGTGCACGAGGAGGGCGGGAAGGGTCTGGGTAAGATCACCGACATCACCAAGAGTAAGATGAAGAAACAGCGCGCCAGGACGTCCATCTCCAGGAAAAACAAGAACCCGGACGAGGAGACGGCGAGTGACGGCATGCCGGGGAGTTACGTCGCACAGGAGTGGTAACATGTTAGCGTTAGTGACTATCCAGAACCATGCATAGCTGGTTCTATGCCGGAATTGGTTATATGGTATCCAGAACTTTGCCTAAGCTTAGTTTAAAATCTATGCCTGAATGGGTTATCTTTTATCCAGAGCCGTATCTATTATAGCTAGTTCTATGCATATGCCTGACTTGATTATACTAGTATTGTATCCAGAGCCGTACGTATCTATCTAGTTCTATGGCTAGTTCTAGGATCAGGCATCGTTCTGGATATTCTCCGCGTATTCAAGAACGTAGATTTGCCCCAGGCACGGTTCTGGATCCGGATACGCGTGGGCTATCCAGAACTATACCTGCAGCATGGTCATGGATAAAGTTTTAAATACATGTATAACAGTGACTATAGAGAACTGTTGTTCTCATGTATCCTTACAGCCACTAGCGATCACAGTTTGAACTGCACTTTTTATTATTTTTGAGCAGCGGACATTTGTGTAACAAGCAGCTTCTGTTGTGCTATAGGTTACAAGCAATATCGTGGATTACCAGCGAAGGAGCCGGCAACGTAACAGAAATTCAGAACTTTTAAAAAGGTTATTAGAAGAAAGAGTTTTAGGACGGGAATTCCTTTATTATAACATATATAATATGTTAGTTTTGCAAAATACTTTTTCTATGATGATTGCTCAGTTGACGACCTGTTATGTACCGTAAATGAGAAATATGTATCAATTCCACCTGCTGTAGATGACTGTTGTGGATGGTAACTTTGAAACAAATCTAAATGTGCAACCTTATACATGTTTATATTCATGGCATAGTGTGTTTATGGTAGATATTTTGTAAATACGTGTGTATGTGTAATGTAACAAAGATTTTGACTTACTCTAATATTTTAATCGGAAATGAATTAAGGGTATCATTTTAATTAATAATGTTTTGATCTATATTCAAACCTTTAAACTTTCTATTGCAAATACTATATCACCGGCTTACAGAGTCTGAATTATTGAGGAGATATTTAACAGTTAATGCGATCTAGGTAGCGAGTCATTCTTAAAACATAAGGAAACATTTATATTAGATTCTTTTAATAGTGAAAATTGCTACGAAGAAGTAAACTTTTTTCTGTAATATTTACTCCTCTTTCACTTTGTTATCCCTTCTGTAATGTGAACAATTCTCTTTTGCCACATTGTTTGTAAAGTCCTCTATGGTATCAAATGTAAATGTTTAGAGATACAACAAAATTGTTATGTCTGCTTCTTCTTGCGTCAATGGTAGGCAAACCATTTGATATTCAATTGATATTTGATATGCCGGACAGCTTGCGCTATTTAATATCGGCGTGAAAATGATTTACTGTTCTTCATTGTTTGTTGGTCTTTTTCATGTTACTTGCAATTAGATATAGCTTTCGGGCAATTATTAGCAATAAACGTATCATATGGCAATGTGTCAATGCTTGTTATTATTGTTTGTCTGTTGTGCCAACTGTTATCATAACAACATCATTCGTCTTCTTTGCCACTTGCGCTTAGTGTTAACATAGCAGCCGTAGACAAAACACTAATCGCTTGTGGTGCTACTGCTAATTAACGGTAAGGAGATATTTCTACTGACGACAGTACTCACGTTTAGTAAGCATGTTTGGAGTACTCCGAACGGAATTACAAAGTTGAAAACTTTTTTCAAGTACTTCCGAATCCGTCTTGAGTTTACAGAACGTCCACCAGGATGTGAAAAGCTATCTATGACGATGACGTCACTGTCATGTCTGTTATCTGAATTCTAGCAGCATACAAGTGTGAGCATAATAGAGAAAAATTGCAGCGTTTCTAATACGGACTTTTCTAATACGGACTTTTAGATGGATCTTATGCTCCAAACGGCAATTATTTATGTAAATACATGGCCGTAACGTTAATTACATAAGATTTTGTTTAGATTCTCATTCACGTCACTGTAATTTATTCCTTTGTTGCGTAACGACGTCTCGGAACCTGAGGTTTCACTCGAAGTACCTCATTTAGTCCATATACCAGCTGCCACTTTTCCATCTCAAATCTCCGGGGCTGGGTTTTATCTATTAAAGGCAGAGTCGTTCTGTCTAGTTTTGATTCTAACGCGCCAACACGAGCTGTCATCACCGGACCACGCTAGCTGGAGGCTGCACGTGAGTTGTTGCGGATTGCTTTTCGTAAACTGTCTTTCATTTTGATGTGTCAAGTTGGTAGGAGTGGGTTAGTGGGTGTACATGGACAAGTGACCTGGGCAGCTTGACACATCCTTTTTCTGTCTTCCTTCCTTTGTCTCAGTCGAAAAGAAAGTTTTTCTAATAGCCAAAAAGACTCTTGTTTCGCTTGTCGAGTTCTTCTTTCTTGATTTTGTTATACCCCAATTAAAAATGGGAAGATGACCATGTAAGTTCATGAACTATTTAGTTAATCTGCAAACCTAGGTAGTACGTATGTACCTTGTCTTGTCTTGTATGTACCGATTTTACAGGTTTATGTCTGTTTTCCCTGTATAATTACCTTCGCCATCACGGTTAACATCATTTGGCGAAGGTATGAGATCTTGGAACTCTTGGTTTGAAATGTGTAGCCACGTCTCAGCTTTTCTTCTTAAGAAAAATTTACTATAGCTACGACTTTGCGATGCTCGGGAAAACGAGACAACGCAATGATCTTTTAAACTGTGTTGGCCGTTACCCGGGCATTGCAGGGACGGAATCATCTTCTTCACTACTACAGACTTTCCTAAGGCTTCTCTTACGTTCACAGTTAGATGGCATTTTACAGAAACAACTCCCACGCGTAGATTGCAAACCAACTACTTGAGGACCGTCTAGAACACATTCAGGACCTTCCCCCGAATCTATGATCTGTTCCCGAATGCCAGTCGACCAGGTTCGGCTTAAGTTCGGGGGCAGTCTGACAAGATTTAGGCCACGACTACCTTTCTATATCGATCGAAATTGAGTTAAATTTAAGTTAGATTTAACTTCAAACCCGCCAAGAACACTGCTGACTTATTCAGACTAGTTGTTTGGTGTTCTGTCGATGTACAGCCAGCCAAACACCAGCCAAATAGGATTCAACCTCCCGAACGACCTGAGAATTTTGAAACATTCTGAAACATTCGCCGAACACCAGCCGACTTTGCCGACTCCATGGTAGCCAGGGAACGTTCGGTTAGTGTTCATCAGGCCAAATTCGTGAATGTGTAACGAGGACTTGAAAAGCGTCTTACCCACCGATGTTCTGTACATAGGGGTATGATCATTATGATCATAAAGTGGTACCAGAAATGGAACGGTGGTTTGCACCTACTTGTCCCTTTAAAACATTGTCATCTCAGGTATATTTGTTCACAGTCGGAAATTCAGTCTCTCATAAATGCCAACTCCAATCAGCAGGACTCATTAGCTTTGATTCTGCGTCCTTCAACGGGTTCTTCAATGTAGCCGCCAGATGTGTACAGGATATACGATGATCCATGAGATACTCGTGTTCGTGTTTTAGTCATAACAAAACACTAGAACTGCAAGTGTGTACCAGTGGCGTTTCAGACTGTATGCTTCACTTTCAAGGATGCTTACCAACGTTGAAAAACATTCTAATCAGAGAATAAGAGGAGCGTACAGACGAAGTTTGGGTTCGAGTCGGGTTAGTTTCGGCTTGCTCAGTCAAATTGACGCTGAGGAATAGTGACTAAACGTCAGGAAGTAAAAAAGTTTATCCAGTAGTAGAGTTTGAATTTTCTTTGAATAAAAGTTTGGGTTGGTTCAAACTACGTGCAAAGGATTTGTTGCATCCAGAACCGTTCTTTATCCAGAATCACGCTCAGGCGCGTATTCTGGATATTCCACGCGTATTCAGAACCGTTCCTGGCACAAATGTACAGGAAAGGTACTGGGTATTGTCCACGTATTCTGCAGGATACGTGGAGAATATCCAGAGTCGTGATTTTTACATCTCTAAAATAACCCAATTGAGGCGTAAAACTAGATAGGCACTGGATCCAATATAGCCCAGTCAGGCATAAAACTAGATAGGCAGGTTTCTCGTGGGACTTTTCAATAGGAATTCTGTCGTGGTCCAGTAGTCAGACGTCATCAGGATTGACCTTCCTCCGGACTGACCGGTCCTGGATGACCTGAGGTCAGTGGCCAACAACACGGTGTCTGTAGTCGTGTTGGCCACGACCCAAGGTCAGGCGGGCTCGGACTTTTCAGCTGTGCTCCTTAATTGTGTGTAGTCTACACAGTCCTTGAGGTTCTTTAAGAATGGTCTCTACGAACATTTCCATTAGTAGCACACTAGTACTTGTGCAATAGGATTGTTTGTATCCTCTACTAGATACCGTTAAACAAAAAAGACTTGGATTTCGCTATGCAAATTGAGGGTAAGTCGGTATGAGGGGCTCTTTTATGTAATACAAATAGCCGCAAATAGGTACATGTAATTCTATATACTATTATGCATATATATAGAATTGTTGATAAAGAACCAACAATATTGTTCGACAACCGTTTATTACCGACAAATAAAGGGAAGGAAACTACTTCAGTTTCAACAATTACGCCCAACGTACATGGAACATATATTCTTCAATGACCACTGAAGCGACGAGATAGCTAAAAAGAGGCGAACAAGTGGTTCTTATTTCCCCTGACAATTCAACAACAATTTTATGAGTCCAGTACAGTATATATTCTGAAATGATGTGTTTCATTAGGAGCACGTAATGTAACAAGTCTTTTCTGCTATAGCATTTTCAGTGGCACATATAATCATAAATTCTATACAATATGCATTGCTCGTAGGGTCTAAATAAGATGACTTTTATTACTAGAAAAATCAGGCATACACTAAAATATCAAGCTAATTTACATTAAAAGCATATACATCACGTAGTTAAATAACAGCTGTTTTATATTAAAAGCAATAACAACATTACACAACAAATGATAGCAAATGCAAATGCCTTCCACTTGGCATAGTCAGAAAGAAGTACACTTCTATATAGTTACAGTACAAGCAGAATGCACAGCGCGATATCACAGCTCTTCAACTGTTTACAATAATTACATGGATCAAGACACATCAGATATTTACCCGTCCTCATAAGTAGCACATCACAAAATATTCTTGTATTCTTACTATAGAAACACTTTGTCATCGCTGTATATCGCCCCAGAGGTCAGATGATTGACAAAACTCTACTACATTAAAGAGACTGTCTTGAGTTTATAGAATGTTCCAGGTTATCATCATCACATTTACACAATACGTACAAAATGTTAAAATCACAAAACATTATAAGGGATAGATCACGTTCCAAGGGGTTTCCTTCTACGTAGCTACGTGTAACACATGTCACATTTGGCACATTTTAGGTAGAGACTACAGGGTAGAGACTTTTACGTTTCATTTTTTCAAATATTTCAAGAAACTTTTGATAACAATAAATACTAGCAGAACGCATTTAAACTCTTGGATCATAAAGTTTCCATAAAGATGTCCAATAAAGAATAAAAACAGAACGTATATCTAGAAATTACCATACAAGTACTGATTGTTAAAAAAAACAAATAAATCTAATGATAATGAACGTAAAATTCCGAAATTGATAAAGTTGCTCTCTTTATTAGTACAAACTTGTGGCTATAAAAGTGGCTATAAAGAATTGATGCTTCGTTAGGAAAAAAGAATGATTAATTATAAGATCTGAGTTTATAGCAAGCAAGATAATTGCTTTTGTCATATCTTCATGTTTTTCAAGCTGCGTTATACTATAGATGATTCCTATGACCTAACGTCCATGGGACTATCTTGGCGATCAGGACCAAGGACAGACCCAGATGAAAGGAAAAAGCCATGGCTTTTTGTCTCAGAAGAGATAAGGACAATGAGTAGACTTCCGTGAATATTTTCATCAGTTTGGTAAGTCACGGAATAAAGAGACTCCAAGTGTTTAATTAAGCCAACGTTCGGTGATCATCTGTCACATTCCTCAGGGCAATTCAAGTTCTGAAATTCAAGAACTGTCCTAGCCCCGAGTAAGGGGACAGACGGTCACCGATACGTTTGGTTGTGTTTCTATTCTAGTAGAAAAGATATTAGGGAAGAACAATTACAGAGTCCGTACTCTGCGAGTGCCATTTGGTGTAGTTACGTTGCTGGCACGAACATTTGGTTGCGTTTCTGTTCTATTAGTATACTATTCAGAAAAGGGTCGAAAAGATATAAGGGAAGAACAGTTACAGAGTCCGTATTCTGCGGGTGCCGTTTGGTGTAGTTACGTTAACGTTGCTGGCACGATCCTCCTGTAGAGTGGCTCTGTAGCTCTGCAGCGTGACGACAGCTCTGCGGGCGTTCCGGTCGGACCTGAGGCAGACCAGCTCGCCCAGCTGCGCCATGACGCTGGTGTTGAAGCCGACGTACACCAGAGAGTTGATGACGCTGTTACTCATGGCAACGGCCTCCACGATGTAGAAGATGTTGAAGGTTCCGGGCGCGCCGGTGGCGATGGAGCTGGAGGGGAAGAAGTCTCGGGCGACGATGACGCCGTGGTACGGGCCCCAGCACACCACGAACATGAAGAACTTGACGGCCAGCTGGACCACCTTACGCCGGGACCGGGCCAGCAGGCGCCGTTGGGCGTCCGTCCGCTGCCCGGGCAGGCTTCTCCGCCAAACCTACGGAGCGAATCAGTCAATGGTGTAATGCTTAGGACACATTTCCAAACCGTAGCCGGGCTGCTGGTATCGAAAATTAACAATTCATATTAACAATTTACGCAAATAATGCTAATAATTAGTTTTGTAAAGAAGAATTTGTTGTGTTGTTTTAGTATAATATTTTCCTTTCCCAGAAATTTCCCCGGGCAGGGAGTTGTAACCTTAGCATAGCATGGAGAGTATTTGATTAAATATTAAGTTGCATTTAACCGTTTTGAGTGACATTTTTGCATATTGTATGCTGGTTATACTGAGAAACACTATAATATTGCATTGTAGCAATATAAAAAGTTGGTACAGCAAGTGATATTATTTATAAGTGTTGCTTCACAGTCTTGCACTATATGCATACCAAACGCACTGCCTATGTTAAATAAAAATATCCGGGCACTAGAAGCAATGGCCGCCTCCAGGCCCACGTACCTTCCGGACGACCAGCACGCAGCACACCCCCATGACGAGTACGGGCAGGGCGAACTCCCCCACTATGGTGAAGAGGAAGTACGCTCGGGAGGCCCGGTACTGTCGGATCGGCCACATCTGCACACAGATCGCCCCGTCACCTGCAGACAAGGTGGTCAGCGTTCATCGCACTGGCACGTATATAATGTTCGGCAAGAAAATTATTCAATTTCCTATATATAGTACAAATCTTAAAACCGTTGTCCTGCTAGCAATTCTGTGATAATAATATGATCCTTGTACATGTGCCGGGGATTCAGACCCTCTTGGAGTAGGGGTACTCCTTTTGTTTTACTAGTCTCCAACGTCTTGAAAACATCAGCATTACATTACAAACATGAGAAAAAGTAAAATCTTTACACGACATATGTTGGGCACAGTATTGGAGATATGCTTAAAAATATTTGGGGCAGCAAGACAACGGTTTAAACAGTGTCTTTGTTGAAGCATAGACAGCACTATGTCTGTCTATGCCTCTTTATCTAAGGCCATGTTGATTTGATTATATGGATGACATCCTCTGGGAACCACAAAACTGATGCGAACGTGGGAGTAAAACTGTCAAAGATGTTGCCGTCATTATGAATCCGTGTGGTCATGAAGGTTGAACAAATGACTAAACACCCAGAGTATGATATGGTGAATTCTTCATTTTCATTTCCTTACATTTTCTTATTCTCCTGGAATTGATTTTGGTATTTATTGACATTAGTATCGTTTTCCAATATTTGTTTTGCCATTTTATGGCATATATGTGCTCACTTTGCAGCTTGTTGTACGATTTATAACAGTATGGTCGAAAACATTTCTGGGAAACGGAGGAAAATTCATGCGCACGCGGATGTCATCCATATAATCAAATCAACATGGCCTGATAAATAAAGCCTGGTGACCAGAAGCTACTGACGCTGTTCTGTGCGTACCTCCTACAGCTGAGATAGTGACGGAGTAGAGAGCGGTGGGAACAGACACGAGTAGAGACACGCCCCACACCAGACCCACGGCCACCAGGGACAGGACAGAACCCATACGTCTGTGAGGGTGATACAGAAGGATGTATCTGTGGTGGAGAGGACAACAGTAGATTCAGTTAGCACACCATTTTTCCACGACAGGGTTATAATAAGTGCGCGGTAAAAAAGTGCCGAAAGGGTTTTAAAGGTTCAGGTTTGAGTTCACATGCCTCATAATATGCTGCAAAATGGCATTAACTACTAGCATGACTGAAAAGTGTGCTTTGGGTTAAATTGATTTCGGGCCCGAGACGTATTTACTTGCGGATATCCTTCCGCCTTCTATGTGGTGAGGCGGTTTGATCAAGATTTAATGCGTTCTGTCAGAGCTATTGCCATGCCTTGCGCGATGGGCTATTGTGACAATCTCCGTGTTAGGATTTTTGTTATACTTTTCTTGATTATACATAAGGGGCTTTCTCTTTCCGTCAATATCATATCTTCAGTCGTTTTGGTATCTAAATTATGGACAATGGGCCCACGTGAAATTTTGGACATCGTTTTCCATCGGACAATCCATTTTCACTTAACTTATTATTTACTAAAAATTTGAAAGGTTAAAGAAAGTGACCATAAGCTAAAGTTAAAGCCTACGTGCGTACATAGAACTTTTCCAATTAAATTCTCAAGGTTACCAACATTGATTGCTGTAATATGTGACCTTCGTTACTTGCAAATATAGTTCTATGTGTTTAACCAAGTCGAACACTTTAATGATGTAATTCCAGATTCTTTTGCTATTAACAAAATACAAATTTGCCTTTTATATGACTTATATAATCAAGGGCAAGCTCGTAGATCGATGAAAAACATAAGGGCAAGAAACTATAAAAGTTTACACTGAACCTACCCGACCATTTTCTACGTACCTTTCTGTGGTTAGTTTATTCAAGTTATATAACTTGAGTATGTATCCGTATCGTCTTTAATTCCATTATTTGGATACTTTAATAATGCGTACGAGAAAGGCAAACTTTATTGCAAACTTTATGATCTAAACGTACTTCGCATTCGATGTAATCTCCAAGCAGATCTTTTGGTGGCTGCAAATACAATATCGAATTGGCCAGGCAGTGTCCATTTGGCAGGCTGTATCCAATGCGCCACTGTCTGGCAAATGGATACTGCCTGGTCAATTTGATACTGAATTTGCAGCCACCAAAAGATCTGCGTGGAGATTACATTCGATACGTACAGATGGGAGGTCTTACAGCGACACACACACCGCACTCCATCGCATCTTTTCAACGACCTTTCCTTATCTTTCACCTGGCCATCACGGATTACGTGTAGGTTATATGACGCATTTGCTAAGGTTATATATAACTCCATCAACGCCAAGATCGGCAACGTGGAAACATCATTTCCCTCTTTCCTATCGATTAAGGAAATCCATTACTGCACTTTTCGCTGCCTTGAATGTGTGTTCTGAGTTGTGGGAGGATTTTACGTCCAAGGTCATCATCTTTAAAACTTACTGGAACCTGTATTCACAGCGGCATGGCTGACCGCACGTGTTGAAAATGACGCGGTTCGTGCATTTCCCTCTCGACTTCCAGGACTTTTATCGGATGAAAGGATTTCGAAATGAAACGCTGGAAACTGATTTAAAATCCGTGCATCCGTCTTTAGAGAGCGTGAGCTTGAAAGGGCTGGCGCTCAGGGTTTTACACGTAATCGGTTCATCGTTAATCATGGGCGCCGAGGAGCTACTGAAAGCTCTTTAACACGCTTAGCGGCATCGGTGAATATATACACGTACTGCGTAACGCAAGCAAGTTAACGTGAGTCACGATACGTAACTTTATGAAGGTGAGTAAGATGCTGTTACATGCAATTCATATCGGATATATAAATCGATTAGCATAGGCAAAGTTGAGCATGTTGGATAGCAATGCTTTCGAATTTTACTGTTGAACAAGGAAAGAAGTAAAGGAAAAAAGCAAGAAAGAAACGAGAAATTGAACAGGAACAACCTTGCCAACTTGAAATTCAGTTAGAAGGTCCTTAATATGATTACAAGCATCGGTGAACATATACACGTACTGCGTGACACAAGCACGCTAACGTGCGTCACGACACGTAACTTTATGACGCAGAGTAAGATGCTGGTACATGCAATTCATATCGAACATGTAAATCAATTAGTACAGGAAATGTTGAACATGTTGGATAGCAGTGCTTTCGCTATATCTGCATTTTTTTGTACTTTTCTGCAAGGAACAAGGAAAGAATTGAAAGGACAAAGCAGCAAAGGTTCGAGGATCCGTAATTAAAAGAACATTGTCATCTTATAATTCGTTAGGAAAGTATATAGATAAGTGTTAACGACGTCGGGCCCAAACTTGTATTACCAATACAGATTACCAGTGACCGTTTGCAAAGAGCTAAAGTCTGTTTAAACAATAGAGTAATAGAAGTGATAAGAATATATCATGAGTTTCTTTCTTCGGTAGATGTAGCATAGTGATGACTGCTTGTGATTCACACCTATATATCTAATTTGTCAGTCCAGCAACTTTTCTAGAGATCGATCCATTACATGAAGCTTAAAGTACGACGTAACCTTTCAAACATTTCTAAGTGTCAATGAAATATATGACTAATCAACTTGACTTTGTCAGGTAGCGTAAAGACGCATTTTAGCTCACAAGGATCTAAAGGTCAACGTATCCATACTGGAGATTCCCATAGACAAGTTAGTAATGACCGATAAAGTTCGGCTGTATTTCAAATATTAAAAATCATTCACGACGTACGAATGTTCTTATTCCCGGTCCTAGTCTAGTCTTCAGCTAAATATTAGATTCAGCAGACAAATAGACTGATTTAAAGAGGACACATTGTAAATTAGATTCGTTGACGTTTGAGGGACGTGGGTGTTAATATTTGAAACCAGTGTGTTCATTTCTAACTCAATTTGATGTTAACTGAATGAGCTATCCTCTCTCTTATTAGGCCATGTTGATTTGATTATATGGATGACATCCTCTGGAAACACTGTGGCATTCTGTGACACCAGTATTGTTTTTTCAATATGTTTTTGCAATTTACGACATATATCTGCTCATTTTGCAGCTTTTCACGGTTTACTGCCCTACGTGCCTGGCAACACAAGAGTCGGATCGAAACTTTGGAAACTTGACAGTGGCTGGGAATATATCAGATCAACACCGTGTCTAATGCATTCAGCTTGATGCTGTCTGAGTCAGTGAGTGAGCTATGTGATATTGTAGTCGGCTGTATATTCATTATATCCCGTCTACGTGTGAACCAAACGTAATTCAACGGAGTTCTGCATGCATTAGTATGCGTATATAGTCAAAAACCTTTATTATGAACCTGCCAAGTTTGTAGTTCAGGTATAGTAGAGGACGAGGTACATTTTACTGCCGATTGCCCCTTGTGTGAAAGCAATATAAAAACCCTCCAAGTATTTATGTGTTATATATTGTTGTCAACAGGCATGTTCACTGCCGCCGAAGGGAAACAAAATTCCTTCTTTTTTTCGAAATCGGGCGAAAATCATTGCGATGTCATCCATAAGAATGACTTGCTGTGGCCTGATACTTAACCAGTGGAAATGCCATGCAGACTGAACCGAGGAACTACCGATAAGAGCTGATAGAAGCAGCACGGAGGTACAAGGTGCAAAGCCGCAGGCAACTGAAAACTAGTTACCGAAGTCTACCCACATGGTCATGATATAAAAGAAGATATCTCCAAACGCAGGAGAAAACCTTTCAACCTCTCCAATGCCAGGCGTATGGAGATGTAAGGTACACTTATCTATTTGTGGTCTTGTAAAACCCAATTGACGTCTCTCTCAGATGCAGCAAAGTGTTCGTTTCTTCACTGACCATGCATTTTATCGAACACTTAGGCTCCATTCCCGACAAAAGGTATCGCCCTAAGTTCACTAAAAGCATACTGACGGGAGAGTGGCAGCACCGACAAGAGTACCGCTAACGTATTCGGGGTGAGCTGACTTTGACCTTTGCAGTTCCGGAGTGCAAGACGTCTTCAAGTGTTTGAGGGCTAAAAGTTTGGATTCCTCGGCAAGTTTTTATAGAATTACTGCAACGATAGCATGCTGCATTGAAATGATTGAAAGAGGCACTTGGACGGGATTCTGAATTGTTGGCAAAAGTATAGAGTACAGTCATCCTCATGTGATAACTCTTAAGTTAGAGAAAAGATAAAGTTAAGTCCAAGTCTAAGTTATAACTCTCAACGGGGCAATCCCGCGGTAAGTTTATAAGAACTTTTTTGAACGAATTCCAACTCGTGGCTCGACATCCGCACACGTAGACCCAGCGTGCCGTGAAACTACCTTCTGATCGTCTCGGCGGGAACCTCGGAGGAGAAATGTCAGACGGTCAGACCGGATTAATCCCCGAAAGATCATACTTAACTTACACTGAATTATCTCTACTTCATTGGATCGGGATTTTGGTTTTAGTGAACTGCTGCATCTTGAGCTAGCTTGAAGACCGTGGATGTTACAAATTCTGATAGGTTTCGTTACTGACATTGACAATCTGTCAGATGATATTTTATTTGCCTTTCTGTCCACCGTCAAAAATACTCAATTCTTACTTAATTTGCAAACCTTTTTGACTGATTCTAAACGTCTGTTGTAATGTTTATATCCATAAAATTCCTATTAGTCTTACATGGAATGGGAATCTTTCTTCATCTGCTTGATGCGTGTTCAATGTGCATTTGTGCTTTGCTAATTGCTCGTTCTATGTCTTATATGTATTGTCTTCTGCGTTGGTGGTGGCATGAAAATAAGTTGAGAACTTGAGTGTGACGTCGTCAACATGTCTTGTCATTAAATGTTGCAATAAAAAACTTGATTCGACATGCATGTGGGAAACTTGAAAAGGGAAGACCTACGCGAACATGAAGTGTATTTCCATCAATACCAATGACATTATTTAAATACTGCCAACGTCTACGCTTTTCTCCGTCTTAAAAAGGCGTTAGGTTTGCTATTAGGCACTGTTTGAACATTTCGCATCGCCGCCGAGTCTCCCTAGTT